GAAGGAAGATTAGAGGTGGGGGAAGGAAGTTATAGTTCGGAAATTGAAGAAATTCAGGAGGAGGTAAGAGAGGGCGGGCTGACCACCTAGCTAAGCTAATAGTGTGTTTGGGTTGTGTCATGGGTTAGTTATTGTCTGCCGGTACAGGCACTAGACAGCCTACCCTGTCCCATTTATGGGTGTTTTAAGGGCCTTATTTCATATTCCGCCGACCCTACTGGCGGATGCTGGTCTAGGGAGGTTGTCTATTGCCTGGCCATGTAGATCGGAGGTGGTAATGGACCTTTTGAGATTTCGTAGCTTTTTGGGAACCATGTATGGTTGTTGTCGTTATCTGGTGGGAGTCTTTGAAGGAGTTCTTGCTCTGATCGTTCTATCTTTTGCCAGATTCTGCTGGCCAGGGTGTGCAGCTGCTGGTTGATGGGTTTCATTCTCAGGTCTCTATGTATCTCGGCTGTGGTTCTGGTGAAGGGGTATCTTTCACCTGTGACGAATCTTAGGGCTTCGTTTTGGACCACCTGTAATTTTAATATTTGAGTGGTGCTCCTAGTATGAAGAGGTATTGCTGGGTAAGTTAATATCGGTGTGATAAATGATGTCACCAGGCGGAGTTTTATTTTCTCAGGAAGAGCTTTAAAGCTTACACTACAACACACACACACACACACACTACAAAAATATGGCAGCAACTTGAACCAGTGCCATGAACCCCTAAAGTTTTACCACAATATATCACCGAGAAATTAGAAAATAAATATATAATAAATAAGTAAATAAATAAATAAATAAACTTAGATTTTTTTACATTTATGTCACGAATAACAATGATCTTCCAGGTAAGGTCTACATGAATCTTTGGCTCACCTGAAGATCAACTCCTCCTTATTCCTCCTTATGATTAAACACTCTAACGATGTCAATGTTTAGCTTATATTCCTACTTTATTTCCAAGCTATTTTTATATTATATTATGTATTGTCTGTAAAGAATTGTATTGTCATTTAATGCTTTCGTTAATGTTTATGTCACATTAATAAACTACTGTTCGGTTTGTTATTGGTATCGAAAACAATGGCTGACCCGAGCTGGTCTGATTTAACGCATCCAAATGATTCACAGCTCATGAGAATGAGTCGGAACACCTCGTATCCTTCTCGTGAACTTTACTAGACCAATCATCATCTTCCCTGAGCATATAGTCCACTTATAATCCAGGAAGTTTATAACCAATGGGAATTCTACGTTGCCCCCTCTAACACTACGCTCCTCACTCACACACCGGGAGCCTCACCCCACCAGTCACCACCTCCAGAGTTCACACATTACTTTGTTTGCTCTCCACACAACAGGACCTTGCCGCCTTTGTCTCTTTCAAATATCAAGGTAAGGTTACCTCAGCCATTGCTCTTGACCTGAGGGATTTGTCTCACCTCTCTTGTTCCCACGTGACTAGTGGTAAATACGCTTCCCCTTGCGTTTGTGATTGTTGGTGTGGTAACTCCCCGGTTCTCCATATTCATATTAGTTTATTTAACCTGTACTCGGAACAGGGTTACTGCTGTATGTTATTAAGCTGCAGTTAACTACAGGTATTTGGGTATTATTGAGTTTACACACTGTTCATTCCTACCACTAATCTATTATCATATTCGAATAAGACGTCTAATTATAAGATAATTTTCATCTATTACATTACCTGCGGAAATGTATAATAACGGAGATAGCTCTTCCAAATAAATTTTTATTTTCTTCCATTATTCCTCGCCATTATAGTCTGTCTTTCGCCCAACACTGCGTGTCTCTAGCGTCTCCTTCATAAATCATGACGCGCATGCGTACCCGTACACGTCACGCGGCCAATCAAAAGCGTTTTTGCTAATTCAGAGTATATTTGGCCCATTCAAAATCGAGTTTTATTTTGGGTCTCTCATATTTTGAAATTCAAGTTCAGTTCCGACCATGGAAGTCTGCGATGGATGCCACTTAAAGTATATGGAGCCGATTGCGAGTTTTTGGAGAAAAAAAAAACGTAGAAACTATAGCATTTTTTTCGATGGCATGGTGTTCTTCCAACCTCAGTAAAGTGTACTAAGAGCAATACTGAATGTAAATATCGCAAAGACCAACATATGTGGAGTTGGGTAAGAATCCCAGAATGCAACGACGAACAAGAACCAGGCCAATAAGGTAAGAAATAGGTGATTCCATCATATGGTGAGTCAGTTAGGTTAAGTTAGGTTTGGTTTTGGTTTTTCTAATGTTTTTTTTGTGTATTTTTTAGTTGCTTAGCCACTTTTTTTTCGGAAAACGTCAAACGAAACAAAATCGCTAAAAAACCCGGCTAATTTCCGCCAAAAATGAAGGTCATATTCGGTCTAAACACAAATACAATAGAACAAATATTTTTTACTTGCTAAAAGTGAACGGTGTGACAATGCAAATTTATCGGTATTTGTATAACTGGTTAGACTTCTAGATCATTGACAGCTTTAATATATAATATTAGGTTAGGTTAGATTTGGTAAGATTGTTAGGTTAGATTAGAATATAATAGGTTAAATTAGGTTATATTTTGTTAGATTATGTAAGATTCTGTTAGGTCAGGATAAGTTAGATTGTTAGCTATAGATTAACGATAGGATGTTTAATCTTACAAGAAAATAAGCCTGTGGGAGAGAGGTAACCTCTAGGGGAAAGAGGGGGGTAATATCTGGGTGAGGGAAGGGGGTAATATCTGGGTGAGGGAAGGGGGTAATATCTGGGTGAGGAAGGTAACTGGGGATCTGGGTGAGGGAAGGGGGTAATATCTGGGTGAGGGAAGGGGGTAATATCTGGGTGAGGGAAGGGGGTAATATCTGGGTGAGGGAAGGGGGTAATATCTGGGTGAGGGAAGGGGGTAATATCTGGGTGAGGGAAGGGGGTAATATCTAGGGCAGAGAAAGGGGTATTCTCTCGGGAAGGGACCGGGGGAAGGGGGGTAGGTAATCTCCACGTGATCTGAATCTCCTAGGTTATATAGGTTTGACGGCCACACCTCAAGGCGAGAACGAAGAACCTGTATGATCTCACACACACACACACACACACACATACACACACACACACACACACACCTCTTAAACTCGGGCTCCCGATGTTGACCAAAATCAGCAAGACACTACATAGGCAACAAGGCCCACTCACTCATGAATCTCATCTGAAAGTTTGAACGCCCGTAGCTCAAACCCTTCGTCAGCCACACCCACACGACGATTACACTCCTTCAAATTTTCTTGAGCTATTAACACCCACCCCCCCCATCTTTTCCTCCCTCCTATAATCTTCTTTTGCTTCCTTCGTTGTCTACCTAACCTAACCCAACTTAACCTACGCAGAAGAAAAAGCCACACCACATAATAAACAAACTGCAACACACAGACACACAGACAGACACACAGACAGACAGACACACAGACAGACAGACACACAGAC